TCAAGCTAAAACCTTGGGTTCCTTTAAATCAGAGCTAGGTAAGATTTTAATAACTTTAAACTCTTAGTTGAATTCTCCCCGAATGAGCTTGATGGGCAGAATGGCCTCCTCTTCTTTATAAATTTCTTATGTTCTAACATATACTATGTAAGTATGTCATTTTGGATGCTATGTCACCACCTATCTGTCCAAAAACAAATTGCCCTATGAGATCAAACACCTATGTTGACCCAATACCCACATCAAGCAGAATCCCCAGCTCTAAATGCCAGACTCGGGTCATCATTTCATCTACCAGCTGGACTTGCTGCTCCTTTGACCCAGAAGTGGGGAGTGTGATGCTGCTTCATCCTGGTTTGTGCTTCATGTTTGGGCTTCAATTGTGCAGTCACACTCAGACGTTTTAAGGGCACCTCCAATTAACTCTCATTTTACGCAATTTCCGATTCCTCACAACACCATAACAAAACAAAATCAGTTGAAATTTATAATAAACTGTTATATTTTAGTCTATTTATAGTTCGATGGTAATTACAAAGAAAAAAGCCAAAAGATAAGAGTATTTTCTATTGTACCACATACACGTATTTATATTACTATATTTGTATGGACTACCATAAACTCCCATTTTCCTATAATTAATTATACCAGTCCTGCTGGGGGAGCCATGGTTGATGGTTGATGTCACTTTGGATGCCCTCTGTGACCTATGACCCAACCTGGAAGTGCTGCCAATTAACGAGCCCAGCTGTTGAGCTCAATGATCAGTCTTGATGTTTTGTGGTGAAGCTCAGTGAGCATTGAATTAGTTGAGTTCTAGACTTTTCATGATCTTGTCATTCAGCTCAGTTCTGGTCCTTGTTTTCTATAATTACCCTTTTGGTTCTGATGAAAGTTTCTTGATTTTTTCGGACCTCAGAACCTTGGTGAATGGGTTGCTATATGCTGCCAATCTAACATGCAGGTTTTTGGACCAGCGAATCCCAAAACGCCTCAGAAACAGAAGAGAATATCATTTTGTGCTTTTCTCAAAACCTGCCTTCTCAAAGTCAATGATATCTGTAGGGACAGCAAAAGACAACCTACTGCACCTTCAGAGTGTAACATGAAGTGCAATGAATTATGGGGCACCCGCAGAAAATTTCTAGCTGAAATCTTTGGCCCACGTGCATTGGGCAAGTAAATAAAATATTCCAGTATTCCCTGATATGAAAGAAAATTCCCTAACAGCAGCCAGCTGCTAATGTTCGTTACTCAGCACACACAGAGTTGCCCTTTTATATGTCAAATGCAAAGGTATTTCCTGCTTCATATGTTGGCACCAGGGAAGAGCTGACAGCACAAATCCCACGTTGTCCTTCACTCTGGTGGCTTCTGGTCCACAAGCTGCCAGCTTTTTATTATTTTGGGGTTGATGTAACACAGGCTGAACACAGGCAGAACCTGAACCCAATATTCACTGACCTTCACACCTTCTGATGTGTTTTTGAAGCAGTTTAATAACTTTGCATGTGTAATGAGATGTAAACCCAGTCATTATTTTCATAATTAGCAATGCTTATTAATTAACAGTGCCATGGCATCTCCATAGTTATCGCTAAAAAGGAAGTGAATCGATCTATCTGCATTTGGTTTGTTTTACAAATTGTTCTTACAAAAGATCCAAGAATTAAAAGGTGAGTTTAATTAAAACACATTATATATAAGTAGCTTATTGGTACATAAAAAAATGAACAATGATAACGCACTTCATTTCATAAGTGCTATAATCAGAAGACAACAGAACAACCAAACAGCATTCAGAAGCATAGAATGTTTAACTTGCGCTGACTAAACAGTGAGTTTTTGCTATATTTATGTTTTAGATAAACTCAGAGATTCTATAATGAAATGTCAGGCAGTAAAATAGCAGAAAGCTGGGGATGAAAGATCAGCTCTCATTATATTTAATAATAATCACTTGCTCGTCAAGCTTGGCTATAATGGAACCCCATTTATAAAACCCAAATGTGCTGTTCTGGGGATTCCTGTAATGCTCTTTACACGCCAATTAATGTAAAATATCATCTTCTGTATTTTATAAATGGCTTCTCCTACTGGCCTGCTTGAAACTTAATTTGCCTGTTTTAGCTGCCCCCACTTGACCAAGCCGCGCTTGACGGTGAAAGGCGTTAACCTCCCACCCGGCGCAGCCGTGGATCATTTGCTGTCCTTGTAATTAGAATAATGTGCAACAATTTCGGTGCAGGATTGCTTGCTCGAGCATTTTGACATCTGAAAGAGCACGCGGAAAGTGAACATTGAGATGTTAAAATGGAGGTGGTTATCATACAGTTGAAACATTCATTGACTCAAAGCAAATAACATGATGGAAAGGCAGTGGATGATTATAGACATATGTACAGTTAGGCACTGAGAGTGGCCATAGAAAGAAAGGCTCGGCATTGTATACAAGAAGGTCCATCTGACACAAGCTAGAAGTCAGTCTGGGCGATGGTTTCCTTTTTAAAAAAAAGGGACAAAGGTTTTCTTTTTTTACATGAATACTAAATGAAGAGAACCGAATCATAGAAACGTGTAGAACATGCATTAATGTAAGCAGGAGAGGGCAGAACACTCCAAGTTGAATCAGAGGCCTGGATCTTGAGCTTGGCTGAAGGGAAGGACCACCACCTCTCGGACCCAAACAGTGACCAATCAGGAGGTTTTGGTATCATCAGGGCAGAGCTGTGGGATCATTACCAGGCTGCACATCCTCTCCTTGGCACATTTAAATCTCCACTGCCTTCCTTCCCTTGAACCAACCACCCCATTGGTAGATAGACCCCACAATGGAATATCACTGCACTCAACAAAAGATCACACAGCTTAGTTTTGAGCAAACAAAGGAGGAACCAGGCAGAAACATCAGAATTGCTCCTATACTTCAAAAGCAGAACTTCATCCTGCTTGACCTACAAGGGACACATTCATGGTTTCCTGTTCCGGATCTCACTTGTCACCCTCCTCAAACTCTCAACTCCATTCTTCCTTACGCGCTGGCTCATCTTCACCATGGTGCCTGCAGCTGGCGAAGGGCATCCAAAGTCAGCCCCTGCCATTTCCCCCAATTCCGCAGACATTCACTCTGTCCCAGTTCAACACCTTCTATGCAGCGGCATCTCCTCACAGCCAGAAGATCTCAGCGAAAAGGACGAAAGCTCGAGAATAATATCAAAATAGTCGGTTATGTCAATAAGGTGCCAAGTTGCCTTGAAGAGATCACAAGCTAGTTGCAGAGATCCCGCCAATGTTCTTCAGGATGGACACTGATTCCTCAAATGGCTGTACAGTTCTTTTTGTCCACTCTTCACTACAATTGAATACGCAAATGGTTAAAAGATCCTTTCTGGAATTGGTTAAGCATTGATGTCCTTTCATTAATCAAACGAGATTCGAGTGCATGTGTTGTCTGGCGAGAATCACCTGTGGCTGGCAGAATTCGCTGAAACCTCATCGTAAGCAGCTTGGAATAGTGCGCAGTCGGCCTCCGTGTTACATCGCCAAGCGCAAATCTTTTCGTTACTCATTTATCGTCCATTAGCAGCTGGAAGTTACACATTACGCAACTCAAAAAAAAAAGACCCAAAAGCAAATGTGCACAGTACCTCAGCCCCCAGCGGGGTGGGGGGTGGGGGGCAAAAAAGAAACAAAAAAGCCAAGTAGCATTTTCCCCTCCCCCAATGCTTTTCTAAAATGGTAGCTGTAATGTAATTTAATTACAGATTTTGCTAAAAAAAACACATGCAAATTTGGTGTTGGCATGAGTAACAGACCCCCAAGTGTATTGCTGTGAGTGCTTCTATTCAGTAGCTGGTAGATATGGATGTGTAAATGAACATTTTGGTACCTTGTAATAGATTAAAACATAAAATTAGTACGGTAAGTAGCTAAGTAGATGACTCCTTAATAAAAACTAGACTGTTCTTTTTATTTTTTTTTAACAGAGCACTACATTTGATGTTGCTGTTGGATGTAAACATATGATAGCTGTAAAAGTCCGGTAGCTGTAGCGTATTAAACAAAAACTTCAGCTGTGAACACTTTTTCCAATCGCGTCCATGCTCAGTTGCATGGGGACCGCCAAACAGCAGAACACCCTACAGTCGTTCATTATATCGTAAAGATCATGGAAGTTGATCCTTACTTTCAGAGCAGAGTGACCACCATGACTGGAAAGCTACATCATGTATGCTTTAACCTAGAGTGACCATATTTTGCTTTGCAAAGAAGAGGACACCGGCAGCGGTGGGGGGGGGATCAAAGAGAGGCATCAAAGCAATGCAATTATGCTAACAGAAAGTATTCTGACTGTAGGAAGCAAATGTCATAATACATCACACAAAGTGAAATCCCAGATAATTCTATTTTTAGGCGCCTAAAAAAAGTCCTGGGAAAATAGGATACATGGTCACCTTATTTAAACATTACACTGTGATGATTATATACAAATTGCATACATATTTAACATTTCAAATTTGTGCATTTATCTAAAGCTGAGCATGTATCTAAAACTAGATACTGACCGATGAAATCGAGACTAGGTGCCTCATTCAGGGATATATAGTAGGGCTCTTCTTGTGACCTTTTCAAATACCCCCTGGTTCCTTCTTAGTCCCAACAATGTGTTGTATCACAGGGTGGGGGGTGTGTTGCTCCTGATGCATACTGAACCCCTGAGCTATACAAAGACTAACCGATATCTGTTTGGCCTGAAAAATACAAGAAAACTTTATAGTGGAAACTCTAGAAATCCCCTTAAATAAATGAATGAAAAACAATGTCATAAATAAGCTATGAATCTGGCAGTGATGGGCTGGGTGTGTGAAATGCTGGATGGTGTCCATAAGACATGCAGACTGTACTGAGGACATACTAGGAAGTTCTGGCAGTGCCCTAAGGGATGGAAAACACCCCCATCCACACAGCTGGACGAAGCCCCAGGCCATTGATGAAGTACTTCTCTGAACATGGGCGATCCGGTTTTTTGGCACCGTTGCCCCAGGGGGGCAATCGATGCACGCTGTAGGTCTGGCACCAGTCTCATCTGGCTCAATCCGGAGGGAGGTGTTTTGTGTGGGGGCTCGGGCAGGTGGGGTTGCCCCCTCCCATAATACTGTTTCTGAAAGAAGTTCCACTACAAAAAAAATGAGCCAACAAACACAAGCCATAGACGGAAGGAACGGGATGGGGGGACAGCAGGCGGCAAGTATGTCCTGCGTGAACAGGGTGCCAGTGGGAGAGGTCCGAGCAGGTCAAAGGTCAAAGCAGCATGGGCTTGGCCCTGAACAAGGCCCAGGCCATGAACAAAGGACAGGGCAGTACACCTGTGAGATGGTAACCGGCCCCCGCCTCACTGACCCCTGGGGTTACATCGTAGCAGCACCTGCTCTAGCAGCCCCCCCATGATGACAGCCATGTCTAAGAAAAGCTCTGGTCCTTATTAGCAGGAAGGCAGTCGTCCTCCTACTAGCTGGGAACATGTGACCTGTTTATTAATGTCTGCATGATCTCCCCGATACTGCTAGCAGGGGAAGGGGGGCCTTTTCAGGACATAGATAACCCCCTGCTCATAATGAAATGGGAATGAAGGGAGTCTTCATGCGGGCCCCTGCCACTGCTCGCACACTGGAGTCTTACAGTTGATGCTACATATGTTTTGTACAGTGAGGTCCATGTAGAATGATAAACAGGATGGATTCACTCCAGTTTCAATCTGCTTCACGGCGCGCCAAAGGCATTCGCACGGTCGCGGCTTTGCTGCCTTCTAAGATGACTGGGAGAAATAGATAAATAAATAAGGGCGGCCAAGAGAAGCGTTTTCCCAGAATCCTGTGGGACAAGCGTCAGTCGGAGAACTGTGGTTAAGAACAATGTAAGGAGTGCTCCGTGTTTCAGAAATGAATGGCGTAGATCATCAGAAGAGTGGGGGGGGCACAGAAAGGGAACAACCCCCCCACCCCACAAACCTGAATATGAACTTGACACCCCTGCAGGGATCTGTTTAATATATGCTGTTGTTACATGAGGGCTAAACACAGACATGAAAATGAGGATAACAGCTATCATGTTTGTATTCCATCTGCGTTCATGGGTCAGTGTTGTTTTTTTATGCTTTTAATTTCATTTGTGTGAATCCTTTACGGAGGGATGTGTGTGTTTGACGCGAGTGGGAAGGTGTTTTGAGGAATATGCCTCAGAGGGACCATGGAGAACACGGATGCTAGGGAGGCTTTGAAGATGCCGGGCATTGGGGGACACGGCTTTGCCCAACAGGGGCCTCGACAAGGCGGCAAAGCGGAGCCCCCGCATCACTTCTTGGTGAAATAGGCGCTGATTGTGACCCCGACGGCCCCCAGAGCAGCCAGGCCAAACACTGTCTTCAGGTACGGCCAGAAGCAGGCCATCACCGAACCCCGCTGTTGCCCGTAAATCTCCACAAACGCGTCCTGGGGGGGGAAAGGAGACAAATAAAATCACAGTTAGACACGCTAATTACCAAGGTAGCCGAACAAGACATGGGAGAATTCCCGCAACAGTGCGAGCGTGTTGCACGCTTTAATTTGAAACCAGTGAAATATTAAGTGGGATATTAAAAGGTTTCAATTTAAAGAGCAGTGGTATAAATATTTTAAAAGTGCAGATTTAAGAATTACACATCCCTGGCTGTTTAATCGTGAGACCCAACAAAGGGTTAAATAGCATCTCGAGAGCCTCTCTGAGAGGGGAGAGCTTGCCGTGGTAAGGACCCCCCCCCCCCCGCGCACACACTAATTACCACACAGCGGAAAATCATCAGCCCCGAACGGGCTCACTAATGCATCCGGCTGCCTTAATGGCTGAGAAAATATCAGGCTCTGGTCATTTTTGACTGCTCCCCTCAAAACCCCATGTTTATCCAGCACCCACCCCAAGCATCAAGTCCGCAAGGCTGGACCGGTAACAACCCATGGCCTTGAGAGCTTGCTGATCTTTTAGGATAGTCCCCCCCCCCTCCCCCCGAATTACCAGGATGGGATTCCACATTCCTCTCCAGATGCAAGCCTGGGAATCAGGGGAAGTGGGGGCTGGGTTTCCCTTTGATTGGAGTCGCCCTATCACATGCTGTGGGAGAGAGAGACCTCCCGAAATCTCATTTTGCAGGCACCACGCTGAGAATCCTAACGAGGCCGAGGCCTCGTTACTCAAGCCGATTGAGTGTGAGAGTGACGCCGACGTTCAGACGCCCCCCTCCCCCCCCTAAGTTCCCTCCCTAAAACAGCAAGCAATCATATCACGCGAGATGTAATTAAACGCTCCTCTTTGTTGTGCCCTGGGGCCGACAATTACAAAAACGACATCTCCACATGGACACGGATTCCAGCGCCAGGGAGACATACACGTTGAGACAAAAGGTGCGTCTTGAAATGTGTTAACAAGCCCTTCTCCCTCCCCCACCCGAATAAGCTATAGCTCAGGGTGTCACATCCCTCCCCCGGTCCCAGACGTGACGCTCGGCAGAGGAAAACAACAGCTGCGGAGTAGAGGATGAGACTGACAGGACCTAATTCTCGTTTGCCGTCCGTCTGAGACGCTGGGAGGACAATACGCCTCCCTGTGTCAAAAATAATCCCCCTGCTCTTCCGACATTGACTACTTTCCCTCTCCAAAGCCTTGAGTTTCCTGTTCTTTGCACTGGTTTTTCATTCTCAGAGTCAGTCTGGCAGCCAACCCTCTGGAATGCGTGACATTTAAGAATTTCTAAACACCAGGGAAGCTGAGAGGTGCTGTGGTAAGCTTCAGCTATTGGTTGGTGTGCGAGCCAATCAGCAGTCAGCACCTGGCGAGTGGAGCTGGAGGGTTTAACCATGCTGCGGCCTCCCCCCCACCACCCCTGAAAGCTCTGTCACCAACCCCTCGCCTGTTGGGGGGGGGTGGGGTCCACAGGAAAACCTGCATAAGCACCTGTCCATTTTCCTAAATATCAGTCGACTGGTTAGTTCTGCTATTGGCTGATTGTGAAGAGCAGGTAGCGGGCAGGTGGGGGGAGTCGCAGGACGCTGTGTGTATTTAAATATGACACAGGAGAGCCGTGACCATCTGTTTGCACCGTCAACATCGCCTGCTGGTCCCGTATTGCTCTCACTGACCTTATCTAAGAGCTCCACGCTCATGCATGCACCCCCCCACCACCTAGGTGGAGGTGACAGGCCGAGTGTATGAGAAGAGGCAGCGGACGGACACTGCAACCCCCCCCCCCAAATCCACAAACATCCTCATTACCGTTGCTTTCGCGACATGTTTAAACTGCCACTGGCCTGTTGCTTTAGTTCGGTCCCAAGGGGGGGTTCACAACTGCTAGCCAGTCGCCGTCCACACGGCCGTGTTTGCGTCGCTCGATGCGACATGGACGGCTTCCTGACGGCCCAAACACTGAGCCAGAGGGAAAAGCCTTCATACTCAGTATCAGCCGCTGCTTCAACTCACTCCTGTGTTTCATGCAGATGGTTCCCTGCTCTCCGAGATGCCCCAGTACTTTTACTCTTATTTTATCAATGCCTAGCTCCTGGTTTCACTCACAGAGAGCTGAAATTTTACTCACTTAAACAGCTGAGCAGTTTTTTCAGCTCCTGCTAAGTAGTTTAACATGACCCATCTTGGGATTTGAACCGGAAACTCTAAATGGTCATGTTCTCAATGACCTTGCTGCCCCATTTTGGAAAGTCATGGCCTGTGTGTGTGTGGGGGGGGGGCACCTACAGCAGCCCTGACCAGGACAGTCGGTGCATTCACAAAGGGCTTTTAGTGCAGTTGTGTCAAGCTGAACAACCTTCATCACGGCAGTGACTCATGGCATCAGGCAGACGACCTTGGGGCAGCCAGCCCCTCAAAACAAGAAAAACGTCTCGTTAAGACTGACGGTTGAATGGCCAATTGGAATGTGACGCTGACAAAGCGCTACTCTGCGCCCCATTGGCCCATTTTTCTCACACCAAAAGTACAAACAAAAGACAACATCCCAGGCCTGCTGGCAAACCCCATCCATGGCTCCACCCACTTCCTGGGCTCCCAGTCACATGACCAGAGCAACCCAAACATCAAGACCGAAGCAGAAGACCTGGGGTAGGTGGCTTGGCAGTGCTGAAGCTGGGAGGTGCGTGAGGAAGCATCTCCTTTTTTTATTACTTGACATTGTGAGTTTGTGTGATCCCAGGCAGGGAAGTAACAGGGTCTAGTTTAATTATCTCATTGCTCCGTCGCTCCAAGCTACATGCATGACTCATTCCTGAAAATTTATTATTTTTAATCATCTCTTATTACATCCTTCCTGTATGCGTTTGTGTGTTTGAATTAAAACAAAAAAAATGTCGTCATCAGGACACTCAGGGCACCAACATGTCCATCCCTGCCGCACAGGTTGCCGAAGAGTCTTCACTCTTGACAGTCAGACCCATTAGGCTTACTGAGTGATAATTAGGCATTAGGCCACTTGCATCTAAGTTTTCAGTTCTTAGAATAGCAAAAAAACATGCTTTATACCAAATTAAAGCATTTTATTTTGTGTTAAAACGTTCAGTTCTAGGCTCAAAGAAAGGAGACAGAGCTGGGTGTGTGGTTGTATGTGTATATGTGTGAGTGTGCGTGGTGGGGGGGGGGTAGCAGGACAGGAAGTAGGTTACCCCCGCCCCACCAGTTGCTAAGCTGAGAAGGATATCCTCTGCTAAAGTGCTGAATGAAAAAAGCACGGGTGGATATAGAATGCCCCCCAACTGAATCCTGCCCAACCTACATAAACTTCCCAGAATGCATTGTCCCTGAAGCTTAGACGATTGGTTCATTGCACTGGCTCAGATGTGTCCCACCTCCCAGCAGGCGCTCTGATGCTCCCAGATCTGTAAGCTGAGGGAAATTTCTAGTGGAAATCTGCCAGCCAAGCTCCGCCTGGGCAGATGGACGCTGGCATGAGATGCTGGGGCAGTCTCCATCACATCCCACAGATATTTAAATCACTGGGCGTCTGGGAGAGCCCCTGGAGTAAGTGACCTAAGTGTGTGAATCGCCGCCTTTGATAGATGGTTTTTGTCAGATCTATCCAGTAAAATCCTGACCTTTCTGTGCGGGGCCCCTCGCCTCTCATATTTCAGGGATGATAAGTGCCACTTTTCCGCATGCGACGGGGTCACGAGGCGGCCATGGATCGTGGACCATGACCAAAGATGTGCTAAAACCGAGTGCTGAGAGCTGTCCGATCACATCAATTTGGGCTGAGTATAAGAGGACCTTAAGTCAGATGGACTCTGCTAGGTAGTGGATCGACAGCACAGCCATGGAGAAATCCCTCAGCATGGTCTTGAGTGTACCGGCCCCGGGCCTCTGGGAGGACCACAGGAATGTGACTGAACCGTCAAGCCAGGCAGTAAAAGATGAGTGAAATATGGCTTTTGGTGGAGTACCTTCAAGGTTGGGATGGTAGCAGTGATTCTACGGTGGTTGATTGGCAGTTTGGCCCCCGGTAGCTGAACCAACAAAACCATCGACAGCAGCCTGCTTAAGTACCCTAAAGTTTTGTATCGAAGGTGAAACTAGGTCAATGAGTTGAGGCAAGAAAAAGACTTTTTCAGCGGAATGTTTTCTGGGCCCCAAACACACAAATGCACATTATGAAGATTTTGCTCCAGTCCAAATTACTTCAGTGAGACAGATTCACCCCCCCCCCCCCCCCCGCCCCACCCCATACCACCTTCTTTCAGAACCTGGGGCCATGGCAGCGAGAGTCTCGGACCATGTGGTACCAACATCAAAGCAGGAGATGCAGGCACGGTACCGTGTCATCGATACCGTGTGGTGGGTGCAGCTTCGGAAAGGCCGCGGGGGCAATGACTGGACCCAGCGCAGCCTGATAACCCCCCCACCACCCGCTCATGCGTGATGTAGGTCAGGCTTGTGCCCCGAGCAGGCCGCGTTGCCGGCGCCTAAACTCCCCAAAGATCAAACTCCTCCAGCACACTGCCCGCTAAACCGCTAATTAGCAGCACAGAGTCACGCTGCAATGCCCGCCCAGACGGCAGGCACTGTGCCCACACGGGAGGGAAGCCGGATGCCCCATCCGCACCTCAGGCTGCCCTCAGCTCGTCCTAAGACAGGAGAGCAGGCTGCCGGGGTGTCTCATTCTGAGCGGGTCGGGTTCCACTTAAAACACCCGACCGCTTCTTGAAAGTTGACAGCGCCCATCTTTCCCATGATGCATTTGCATTGCCTAATGACTAGCTTATCTGCCCGGAGAACTATAAAGAAGGATGTAAAATGAGGCTGCCGTCAGGCAGTTAGAAATGTCTAGAAACTAGCCGTCACTTCCCTTTATTTCACGCTACCGTGAGGGCTTTGTGAGTGTGTGTGTGTGTGCGTCCGCAGTACGGGCGCGTGTGGGGACGGAAAAGGGCGTCGATACTCCCGGCCCTCAGAGGGACAG